TTATAATTATTTGAACAATCATTCAAGTGGCATAGGTGATCATCAAACATTTTCAAAATTGTGTGAAAAATTTCGAAAGTTACATTCATATAAATCGATCAAATTTGTATAGTTTTTTCAAATTTTTATTTGTATTTGTCTTAAAAAATTCACTTGTGTCTTTTATAATGAATAATAAAAATTAGGTTGAACATAAAATCGCCATTTTCATAACAACTGTTAATTGAGTTTCATTTTATAAATGAACATCAAAAATTGACTATAAAGTAGAGCAAACTTCAGGTATAAATTGGAAAAATGTTGATTTTAGTATGACAAAAGATAATTTCATTATTAAAATATTACTTACTTTTATAAATTCTCGAATAGATATGAGTTCCAATTTTCCATATGTAAAACCATATTTATTTGATGTATGATATGCTTGACCATAATTTGATAGTTTTATGAATAATGGAAACTTTTTTCCAAATAATTTTGGCAATAATTGAATAAATTTTGTTGATGATTTTTGAAAGAAACGATTACAAATGGCAAACACTAGATGGAAACCAAATATGCATAACATTTGTTGAATAATCAATACAATAATAATGAATATTTTTATCATTGCCATATTATGGATTATGATAAATGCAACAAGATAACAATTAATCGGTATATTAATAAATAAAAATATAGTAACCGCTTCACAATAAATTCGACTAATCGATATTAATTTTAAATTATGTGTATTATATTTTTGAAAATGATTTAATTGAGAATAAATATTTAAAATAGATGATAATGATAGTCGATGATAGCATCTATTTAATAGTTGTTCTGTTTGCCATACATTTATATAGAATATAATTAAAAATGATAATGCTAAACTAGCCATCAATATATTACAATGGGCATAGAAAATAAAAAATAAGCCATATAATTTCCATGATATTATTACAAACATCAAACGAATATAATGATATAAAGAATCCAAAATGTTGTAATGAATATTGAAAAAATAATCAAAATTTTTGAGAACAAATTTTATCAATATTATTTCACTTATTAATAAGGACAAATCTATAGAATAACGAAGGAAAAAAAATGGAAATTGTAAAAAGAACATTATACGATCATTAAATACTTACGGAGGACAAAGATAAAAAAACCAAATGAATTGATTATCATTTTTGTTGAATTATAGACAACATTACAGGCCATTTTTGAACGGAAACGATATGGTGAAAAAAATCTTTTTTGGTTATTTTTGAATAAAATATCATTTAATATGTTTGCAGTCTGATTTGAATAGTAAAGTTGATAAAGATAAATTTTAATCTGAATAATGAGCATTCCCAAAAATAAGCCAGCAATATGATCTAAATCAACTAATCGCCAAACCAATGCATTCGAGTAAATATCAAATTGACTTTGTTGATTTGAAAAAGTTACAAAAAGAATTTTTATAAGATAGATAAGAAAAAGGAATTCAACAAAACTGACACCTTGACAAATATGACACTTTTGATGAGAATAATTTCTTTTTGTTGATAATTTTAAACGAAATTGTTTATTCATTGAATCATTATTGATTTGTTCACATTCTCTATATCCGGTATATGTTGAACAATATATTCTTAAATATTTCATCATTCGACGACAAATTAATGAGCCGATCATATTTGTCCAAAATATTGAGGCTGTTTGCAATAAAATCAGATTTTTTCGTATATATTTAATAGAAATTTGAATAAAAATAATCAATTTACAAGCCATTTTTGATAATTAAAATCCAAAATAGTATTCAAAATTCCGCACAAAATTTAAACATTTAAATCTAAAAAATTATCTTGAATTTGTGTTTAGATTAATCATTGAATTTAAGCTTAATTTTACTGATGTGAATCACAATTAAATCATCAAATAAATAATTATTAAATGCCAATTTGATTTGGAAATTTTGCAATTTTAGATGAAAATAAAATGAAATAAAGATCGATGTTTGTTATAATTGTCATGATTCTAATGAATTATGACATTTAAAACGAACTTTCTTAAGAAAAATGAAAAAAAAGTTTTAAAAAAAATTCTCATACAGGAAAATAATATATCAATAATTTAAATATTATCAAAAAATTTATCATGACTTGTACTTGACTTTACCATAAATCATCAAACATTTTCGCAATTATGTAAAGAACTTTGAATAATTTTAAATTATAGAAATCGATCAAATTTGAATTTTTCTCCTGTTCATAATTTATCGATTGATTAGTTTTGAATTGTTTTTTTTAAACTTATAAATATAATAATGATAATGGTAACCAATAGAAATTAAAAAAAAAATCCATATGTATCATTCCAAACTTTTATTATAGGAATGTTAATTGTGTTGAATATGAAATGTCAGTAATGGATTTCCCATTTCCATAAATATACAATATTCACGATTATGATATTATTGGAAAAGAAAATGATAATGTGAAAGAATGAATAAAATCGAAATTATTGAATTGATTCACATAACAATCTTCAATTGATGTGTATATTGTAAATTAACCAGGACAGGAACCGGTGGAAACAAATCGTTGGAGAAGCCATGGACCGTTAAGCTTTATTGATTGATTGATTGATTATAAATAAACATTAAAAATTGACAATAAAGAAGAACAAACTGTTATCAATTGGAAAAATGTAAATCTTAGTATGACAAAGGAAAAATTTGTGGATTCAGCTTACCATTATAAATTCTTGAATCGAGATGAGTTCTAATTTTCCATATGTAAATCCATATTTGTTTCTAGTATGAAATGCCTGACCATAATTTGATAGTTTTATAGATAATGATAAATTTTTCCTTGATAATTTCGGTAATAATTGAATAAACTTTGCGGATGTTTTTTGAAAGAAACGATTACAAATGGCATAAACTAGATGGAAACCGAATATGCATAACATTTGTTGCAAAATCAGTGTGATTATGATGAATTGATTAAATGTTGTTGTTTTATTCAACATAATGAAAATTACAAGATAACAATTAATGGGAATGTATATAAATAAGAATATGATAAGCGCTTCACCAAATATACGAGAAATCTATATTAATTTCATATTTTGAATGTTATATTTTTGAAATCGATACAAATGATTAGATACATTTTTTATGGATGATAATGATCGGCGATAACATCCATTCAATATTTGTTCTGTTTGCCATATGTTTATATAGAATACATTCAGAAATGATAATGAACTAACAGCCATTAATATATTACAATGGGCATAAAAAATGGCTATCAATTTAAAAAATTCCCATGATATTATCATAAAAATCAGACGAAAATAATGATACAAGCAATCCATAAAGTTGTAATGAACATTGAAAAAGTAATTGAAATTCTGGTAGATAAATTTTACAATTAGCATGTCAAATAATAATATAATCAAATCTGCTCAATAATAGAAAAAAAACATAAAAAACAAATAAAAATCTATAAAACAAATACTCACTCAGACAGATGACAAATATGATAAATGAATTAGTTGTCATTCGTACATAATTATGGACAACAGTACAGGCCATTTTCGAACGATAACGATATGGTGGATGAAATTGTTTATGATCCTGTTCGAATAGAATGGCATTTACCATATAGGCTGTTTCATTTGAATAATAAAGTTGATAAAGATAGCATCCAAGCTGAATGATTACCATGGCAACAAGTAAGCCAGCAATATTATCCAAAACAATCAATTTCCAGAAATTTCCATTCAAATATAGATCAAATTGATTCTGCTGATTCAAGAAAGTTTCATATATAAGTTTGATTAAAAAAATAAGAAAAACAAATTCCATCGAAGCCACACCTAGACAAATGCGACATTTTTGATGTTGTTGAGAAAGATTTCTCTGTGTCGTCCATTTTAACCGGAATCGTTTACCCATTGAATCATTATTAATTTGTTCACATTCTCTAAGGCCATTATATGTTGAATAATATCTTTGTAGATATTTCATCATTTGACAACACATTAATGGACCGATCATATTTTTCCAAAAAATTAGATTTTCATGTGAATATTTGATAATCTTTCGTATCAAATTAATGATTCTGTAAGCCATTATTTTTTTTGATAACAATTAGAAAGGGTAATCAATAAAACTTTAATTTACTAATTAATTTTTAATCAAAGTAGTGATTCTTGTGAGAATATTGAAATACAAATCTGAGCTTTTCAAAAACAAACATCAAAGTGAATTAAAACTGTAATTTAAAATAGGAATTGCAAATTGAATGGCATACCCATAAAGATATACTATTCAAAATAAAGATATTGTTGAATCAATCGTCTTTTTTCAATGACAATTATTTTTGATAATGTTTTTATTTCATTTGATTTTTTTTTTTTTTTTGAATATAGATTTTTTAAGCTGAAGAAATATTTGAAATAGAAATACAAAAAATATACGAATAATTTCGTATGAAATATAAGTATAATATAATGATCATTTTTTTTTCTTTTTGGTTTTTTTTGCTCATTCTCTTTTTTTTTTGTAATTGTCTTTTCTAACAACCTGCTTAGATATAACCTCTAGTGTAAAATACTAGTTCAAGAGGTTCATTTAAAAAATAAAATTATTATTATTATTAATATAATAATCATGATAATTTAAAATGCATTATTTATGAGCTTCATTGGGAAAGTTTTCGTAAAAATCAATAATCAATAATTCCAAAAACGAAATTCCAAATTTGAAATCGATTATATATTTTCTTTTTTTATACAAAAAAAATAACATTTTTTATTATTATTATTCCGAAACTAAATAAATTCGAAATAATTGTTGAAAATTTTTATTTTATTGTTTGAATTGATTCATACAACAATCATTAATTAATGTTTATTTTATAGATAAACATCAAAAATTGACAATAAAGCAGAATGAACTTCAGGTATAAACAGAATAAAAAAATGTTAATTTTAGTATGAAAAAGAAAAAATTCATGGATTCAGCTTACCATTATGAATTCTCGAATCGAGATGACTTCCAATTTTCCGTATGTAAATCCATATTTATTTTTAGTATGAAATGCTTGACCATAATTGGATAGTTTAATGAATAATGATAAATTCTTACATGATAATTTGGGTAATAATTGAATGAATTTAGTAGAGGATTTTTGAAAGAAACGATTACAAATGGCAAATACTAAATGTAAGCCAAATATGCCAAACATTTGTGGAACAATCAATGAGGTTAAAAAGAATAGTTTGAATGTTGTTATTTGATTCAACATAAGAATTATTATAAGATAACAATTAATTGGAATGTAAATGAATAAATATATGATAACCCCTGTACTGATAACACTACTAATCGATATTAATTTCAAATTATGTGTGTTATATTTTTGAAAACGATATAAATGACTAGAGATGGATGGATTTCTAATTGATGATGATGATCGACGATAACAACTGTTTAATAGTTGTTCGGTTTGCCAAACGTTTATATAGAATACAATAAAGTATGATAATGCACAAATGGCCATTAATATATTACAATGTGAATAAAAAATGCTCATCAATTCAAAGAATTTCCATGATATTATCATGTACATCAGGCGGAAATAATGATACAAGCAATCCATAAAGCAATAATGAACATTGAAAAAGTAATTGGAATTTTCTTTGATAAATTTTATCATTAGTATTTCGAAGGTTAATATCACCAACACTACAAAAAAAAACAAAACAAAAAAAATGAGAAAAACAAATCAGAATATTTAAAATAAATCCACACCGAGAGGAATGACAAATAAAATAAATGATTTGATTATCATTCGTGTTGAATTAAGGACAACGGTACAGGCCATTTTTGAACGATAACGATATGGTTGATGAAATTGTTTATGATCCTGTTTGAATAGAATAGCATTAATTATGTTAGATGTTTTATTCGAATAATAAAGTAGATAAAGATAACATCCAAGCTGTGTGATTATAAAGGAAACAAATAAGCCAGCAATAGAATTCAAATTAATTATTCGCCAGAAATTTCCATTTAAATATAAATCAAATTGATTCGGTTTATTTGAAAAAATTTCACAGAAATTTTTGATGAAATAAATGAAAAAAAAGTATTCCATAGACGCTACTCCTAGACAAATGTGACATTTTTGATGTTGTTGTGAACGATAATTCTGTGTCGTCCATTTTAACCGAAATCGTTTACCCATTGAATCATTATCAATTTGTACACATTCTCTATGGCTAGTATATGTAGAATAATATCGTTGTAGATATTTCATCATTCGACAACAAATTAATGGACCGATCATATTTGTCCAAAAAATCAAAGATTTTTGCATTAAAAATAGAATATTTTGAAAATATTTGATAATCATTAGTATCAAATTAATGATTTTGTAAGCCATCTGTTTTTTTTTTTTTTTTGATAAAAATCAGAAAGGTAATCAATCAAACTTTAATTTACTAATTAATCGTAACAATTCTTAATCAGAGCAATGATTCTTGAGTGAATATTGAAATATGAATCCAAGAACCGATAATCCGATAATTTAAAAACAAACATCAAAATAAGTTGAAACTGCAATTTAAAAAAAGTTATTAATAATAAAGAAATTATATTTCGAGTATTATTTTCAGCATTTATGTCACATAATAAAATATTCTATATCACCAGCAGGTTGATACATTGTTCGGTATCGTTGTCGATATGATTAAAATGCCTTATGAGAAATTAAAATTTTTTATTACTAAAAACAAAGATAAAAAATAAAGAAACGAAACATATAAATAATATAAAAATGATATGTTAAATTGTAATTAGTAAGCATACGTTATAATGACGAGTTTTCATCAAAATCGATAAAAATTAAATCAAAAATCTGAAAGCGATCTCAAAAATTTAACGATCGATAACATTTGATTTTTTTCCCTTTTTATTTCGTTTAAAACTGTATAAAACAATTGATTTTAGAATTTTTCAAAAATTTTATGCTGAATATGAATTGCAAATTGAATGGTATACGATTCACAATATAGATATTGTTGAAACAATCGTCATTTTTCTAAAGATAACATTTATTTTTAATAATGTTTTTGTTTCATTTGATAATATTTTTAATTTTTTTGAACGAAGATTTTTTTAAGATTGAGAAATATATGGAATAGAAATTTTAAAAAATAAACGAATAATTCTGTATTAAATATTAGTACAATATATTGATTATAATAATTAAAATTGCATTATTTAAGAACTTCATTAGAGAATTCTTCGTAAAAATCCATGGACAATAATTTAACACGTTCGCTACCGGAGTTTTGGAAAAACACATTGAAACACAGCAAATGGGCGACGCATATATGCGTCGCTGGTATCGAACGTGTTTAAAATCCCGAAGTGAAATTCCAAATTCAAGATTTTTTCAACATTTTTTCTAAAAATCAATCCAATCCATAGAATTTGCGTGTCCGATTCCATAATTTTAAATGTGAAACTTTTTAATTATATTTTTTTATAAAAAACAAAACATAACCAATTTTGACATATATTTTTTAAAAATAAATTTTCATTTCAATGTTTGATTAATGACTAAGTAAACAACAAATAAATGAAAAAAGAATATTGAATTATCTTTATATGGCAAAAAATTTAATTAAAATTATTGCAAGTTTTTAATCAAATTATTTTGATTTTTTTAGTTGTTATTGTCGTTGTTGTTGTTGTCCTGGAAATTTCTTTCAATATGAAATCGAGATACCATTATTTTTTAAAAATAACATGATGATTTCTATTTTTCGCGTTTATTAATCGGAATATTCATCCAAACTTTAGTGAACTTTGAAGTTTTTAATCATAATCAACATTATTCCCATTGAAATTAATTCTAATGGAAGATGATGATGAATGATAACAACTATTTAATGTTTGTTCTGTTCGCCATACGTTTATATACAATACACAATTAGAAATAATACTCCACTAATAACCAGATAAATTTCGTTCATTTCATTTTCCCTGAATCATAAGGAAATTTTCGCAGACAAACATAAGTAATTGTGAATAAAGTAACATGTACTATGTGAAGAGAAAAAAATATTAATCGAAAAATAACGGAAATAATAAGACAATAGAAATTACCTTGACAAATTCCATCATTGAAATTAGTTCTAATTTTCCATATGTAAAACCATAACGATTTTCCGTATGAAATGCCTGTATATAAAATGATGATTTTAATCGATATCGTAAATACTTGAATGATAAGGATGATGATGGTGACAAACGCCATCGAATCAATAAGCTAAGAANAGCTTACCATTATGAATTCCCGAATGGAGATGATTTCTAATTTACCATATGTAAATCCATATTTATTTCTAGTATGAAATGCCTGACCATAATTTGATAGTTTTATATATAATGATAAATTTTTCCTTGATAATTTGGGCAATAATTGAATGAATTCGGTGGATGATTTTTGGAAGAAACGATTGCAAATGGCAAACACTAGATGAAAGCCAAATAGGCATATCATTTGCGGAATAATCAATGAAGCTATAAGGAATTTGTTAAATGCTGTTGTTTCATTCAACATAATGAATATTACAAGATAACAGTTAATTGGTATGAAAATGAGTAAATACATTATAACCCCTGTACTATAAATACCACTAATCGATATTAATTTTAAATTATATGTGTTATATTTCTGAAAACGATATAATTGATAATAAATATTTCTAATAGATGATTTACGATAACAACTATTTAATGATTGTTTGGTTTGCCATGCGTTTATATAGAATACAATTAGAAATGATAATCCACTAATAACCATTAATATATTACAATGTGAATAGAAAATGCCCATCATTTCAAAGAATTTCCAAGATATTATCATGTACATCAGACTTGAATAATTATACAAGCATTCCATAAAGTTGTTATGACCATTGAAAAATTGATTGGAATTTTCAGCAATAAATTTTACTAGCATCATTTCGAAGGCTAATATAATCACCACTACAAAAAGACAAAAAAAAATGAAAAAAACAAATCAAAATCTATAAAATAAATCCTCACCTAGAGGGATGACAAACATAACAAATGATTCGATTATCATTCGTGTTGAATTGAAGACAACAGTACAGGCCATTTTTGAACGATAACGATATGGTGGATGAAATTGTTCATAATCCTCTTCGAATAGAACTGCATTAACTATGTTGGCTGTTTTATTCGAAAAATAAAGTTGATGAAGAAAACATCCAAGCTGAATGATTACCATGGAAACAAGTAAGCCAGCCTTATTATCCAAGACAATTAATTTGCAGAAATTTGCATTTAAATATATATCAAATTGATTCTGCGAATTCGAGAAAGTTTCACAGATAATTTTGATAAAATAAATAAGAAAAAGAAATTTCATAGAAGCTACGCCTTGACAAATGTGAAATTTTTGATGTTGTAAATGATTTTTTTGTGTTGTCCATTTTAAACGAAATTGTTTACCCATTACATCGTTATTGATTGGTTCGCATTCTCTATGGCCCGTATATATTGAAAAATATTGTCGTATATATTTCATCATTTGACAGCGAATCATTGGGCCGATCATATTTTTCCAAAAAATTATATTTTTTCGTAAATATTTGATGATCATTAGTATCAAATTAATGATTTTGTAAGCCATTGCTTAGGTGCAAACAAAAAAATTATAATCGATATAATCATTATTTGAAAGGTTCAAATGTATACATAATTTTAATCCGAAATTTGAGTTTCAAAGTCAAATTCACTAATCAATGAACATTCTATTTTATTTATTTATTAAACAAAATTACAGTGCATTTATACTTGAAAGAAATTATCAATAAAGCAGTAAATCAGATGTTGAATTTCGAAGGCTTGTTGCTTAAAAACGATGAACAAAATGAGATATAACAATGATTTTAAATATCTATTTATTAATGAAAAAAAAATTATTTTGCGTTACTTTTTCAACATTTATATCAAATCATAAAATATTCTATGTGACATAAATGGCAAGTAGGTTGCTGAATTCTTAGTTTGTTATCGATGGCAATATGATTCCAACGAATTACGACAATGTTTTTTTCATTATAGATTTTTTTAAAATGAAAAAAAGTGCTTAATAAATATGATCAGGAAATGCAAATTCCAATTCTTATGATTCACTTGCTCATTATTATTCAAGTTTCCATTTGAATCAACAAACGTTTCGAAATTGTGTAAAAAAAAATTCCAATTTCAAAGTTATAAATCGATTACATTTGATTTTTTTTTGTTGACAATACATTAACCGATCAATTTTAAAATTAACCGATCAATTTTAAAATTTTTCAGACTTTTTATGTAGAATATGAATTGCAAATTGGATTGAACATAAATTATTTTCAACAAATTTACATGTACTTAAATATACACTGTTCACGATATAAATGTTTTGGAAAGAATAAACGATGGTGTACTTTTTTTCAAAAAGATTATTTTTGATTATTGAAATAATCGATTATATTTGATGATGATGATAATTATGACTATGATATCTATAGACTATTTTGATCTATATCAGCAATTTTTTTTTTAAATTTTTAATTCAATCGATGAAATTTGCGTGATCGATTTTATGTTTAAAAAAGTTTTCATAACAATGATTGATTAAGTTTATTCTATAAATGAACATTAAAAAATTGCTTATAAATGTAGAATATATAGAATAATCTTGATATAACAGAAAATTTAATTAAAATTATTTTTGTTGTTGTCTGTGTTGTCCTGGTTATTTCTATTATCATAAAAATTGAAATATCATTATTATTTTTCAAAAATATCATGATTAGGATTTCTATGTTTTCACCTTATTAGGTTGTTCACATTAGAATAGATGATTATGCTATTTTAGTTGTATAAGAATGTTAGTTGAGCCTTTAGACATCAAATAAACAGATGAGATTTTGCTAATTCCATTTTCAATTAATCATAAGGAAATTCTGGCAAACAAACATAAGCAATTGTGAATAAAGTAACATGTACTATGAGAAGAGATAAAAAAAAATATCAATTGAAAATAACAAAAATCATATGGAAATATAAATTACCTTGACAAATTCCATCATTGAAATTAGTTCTAATCTTCCATATGTAAAACCATAACGATTTTTCGTATGAAATGCCTGTATATAATATGATGATTTTAATCGATATCGTAAACAATTAAATGATGATGATGATGATAAACGCCATCGAATCAATAAGCTAAGAAATAATTTACTTGGACGATGATAATGTTGATTAGCAATAGCAAGTGCTAAATGAAAATAAAATATACAAATAATCTGTTGTAAACATAATAATATTACGTTTAAATTTTGAATCCAATCATCAAAATTATTATCTAATAAACATATTACAAAATAACAATTTGATGGCATATTTATAAATAAAAATATTAATAATGCAGGACCGGAAATTTCATCAATACATTCTGTAAGTTTTAAATTTTTAATATGTGTTTCCTGAAATCTGGATAATTTATATTTAAAATCTATTCTATTATTATGATTATAGTTTAAAAATTGTTCAGATTGCCAGATTTTCATGTTCAATATAATTAGACTAGTCTGACAAATGGATGAAATTAATATATTAGCATGGCCATATATAAAATAACAGCATTGCATAACAATTGTATTCGACCATAATTGTAATAATCGTAAGTAACCATTGATATTTTTGGTAAAATAATCAAAATTTTCAATTATCAATTTAATTGCCATTATTGTGAATAGTAAACAAGCCAAATCTGTTTGAATGGTAAAGAAAATGTTGAAACAAAAATTTCAATATAATTCAACATTAATCAATTGATTAATCTTACAAATAATCCAAACAAATGATAATAATGTTCCAATCAATAATTTAGCCTGTTTCCAAGCATAATCGATAGCATTATATTGACGATATTTATGGTGATAAAATATATCGGTTTGTTTTTGTACAAATGTTGGTTCTAAAATTGATCGAACCATATGATTCTTCCAATAATATAACATATGAATATAAATCGATATCTGAATACTGAAACCAACACAGAATATATTTGCCATTGGATCTAATGATATCATTCCGATAATATCAAGATTACAACCACGCCAGATTTTATCTCTATTACCCGAATAAACAGAATAATACAGACATTTGGATCCCCAAATAATCATCAACAAATGGATTGCTTGTATTGGTTTTCGTATTTGATGATCAAATTCATTGTATCGTATAGAACGGTCAAGAAAAAGAATATAATGATGACAATAAACTTTTATATATTCTATCGGCTGAATCATAATCATTGGTCGAATCATATTATAAACACCGAGAAAATTAACAATTCCAATTGGAAATGATAATTTTTTCCAAATTTTAAAAACAATTCGAATCAATTTTTGATACATTGCTCGAACAAAATCTGATAGAATGGTAAATGTTCGAATGACTTTTTTATTTTTGATCAAACATTACAACTATGGTAATGAATCAATTTTCTTCTCCTGACCAATTCCTTTTGAATCAACACAATTTCAATATATTTAATCAATTTTGTAGTTGCTATTTTTCTCAAAAATTAACTGTTAATTAATTTCTTTTTGTTTTTCAATTCTTAAATTTGTTTACACAAATGCTAATTTAGCAGTGTGCCTAAATAAAGCTTATTATTATTATTATTACTATGGTAATGAACAAAAAAAACGCTACCAATTCAACGTCTAAAATCAAAATCAATAGAGTAATTGTCGGAAAAATATCAAACTTTTGTTTCAAATTTAATTTAAATTGGTACTGAAAGTCAATTAATGACAATTAATCATTAATTACCTGGTTTGTCAATGTCAATTTGAAATGAAATTTTCTCAATAATTTTGATTAAAAAAAAAGGAATTTGTTGAAACCATGAAATGGAATCGGCCATAGAAAAAAAACAAACACAAAATTTGATGATTTTTCACTCGTCCTTGAATGTCTAATGTAGTTGTATCAATTATTATTGATTCAAAAAAAAGGAACCCAAATTTTTTATTAATAAAACATTAATTAATTAAAGGATAGATGAAAATAGGTTGTATGTTCAATAAATAAATTCTTAATAAATAAATAATTATCTCATGAACGTGAAAACTATAACAAAAATGAGATGAATGAATGAAACAAAATATTTTTTTTAATATTTATTCAAAAATTCCATGATTAATAATAATAATTTTATTAAAAAGCGTTTATCCGATGGATATTTACGCTAAAAATAAGAAAATTAAAATAAATTATCAATTACAAATATTGAATATAAAGATAGCCTAGGAAAGACAAAATTGAAAGATTAAATACAATGTTTTAAATGAATATTAAAGAAAATGAAATTAAATATAAATTACAATTAAAATTAGAATAATGTTTTAAGAGGTTTATAAATATGTGTGCATAAGTGTTTGAAATTATTTAGTGTGTTTTAAAATTCCATGAGTAAGTTTTCTATTTTTTCGACATTATAAGGTTGTTTTCCGTTGAATAGATGATTGTACTAATTTAGTTGTATAAGAATGTTAGTTAGTTGAACCTTATGACATTAGATGAACAGAAAAATTTCGTTCATTTCATTTCCATTGAATCCTAAGGAAATTCTGGCAAACAAACATAAGTAATTGTGAATAAAGTAACATGTACTATGTGAAGAAAAAAAGAATATTAATTGAAAAATAACGGGAATAATAAGAAAATAGAAATTACCTTGACAAATTCCATCATTGAAATTAGTTCTAATTTTCCATATGTAAAACCATAACGATTATCCGTATGAAATGCCTGTATATAATATGATGATTTTAATCGATATCGCAAACACTTAAATGATGATGATGATAAGCGCCATCGAATCAATAAGCTAAGAAATGATTTACTTGGACGATGATAATGTTGATTAGAAATAGCGAATGCTAAATGAAAACATAATATACAAATAATCTGTTGAATACATAATATTAATATGCATGTATTATGAATCCAATCATCAATATTATTATCTAATAAAAATATTATTAAATAACAATTTGATGGCATATTTATAAATAAAAATATTAATAATGAAGGACCGGAAATTTCATTAATATATTCTGTATGTTTTAAATTTTTAATATGTGTTTCTTGAAATCTGGATAATTTATATTTAAAATCTATTTTATCATTATAATTAGAGTTTAAAAATTGTTCAGATTGCCAGATTTTCATGTTCAATATAATTAAACTAGTCTGACAAATGGATGAAATTAGTATATTAGCATGACCATATATAAAATAACAGCATTGCATAACAATTGTATTCGACCATAATTGTAATAATCGTAAGTAACCATTGATATTTTTGGTAAAATAATCAAAATTTTCGATCATCAATTTAAT